TTAAGTACGATTAGGTCTCACGAAATATTTTTCATATATATATTTATATATAAATGATTCTGCTAAAATATATTCTCAATTAAAAATTTCATACAAGCCTAGAAATGTCGATTAAATAATATACTCTTATTATATGTTATACGGTTCCTACAATCTATCAAGCAATACGATATTCTACTTACAATCATCTTGCTAGCCTGTTTATACTCATACCTCTTAATCATCTCCGTTTTATAGGCTTGTAAGCTTTTTATATTTTATTCCTTTTGTATATTTTGTTACATACTACCCTTAATGTATGCTTTATGTAGTTTTAAAAGTGAAGTTTTGTTTTCTTATTCTCTCCTTAATTAACTTATTTTAACATAAAACGGACTAAATCTTAGTTTAATCTTATTTCATTTACTAGTGAATACACTAGATAAATATATATTTAATCAACAAATCACTTGATATAAATAAGCTTGCTTGAACATGTTGCTTATTATTATCTGCTGTTATAATCAGATAGCAAAACGATGCATTAGATTACACCGATTCATTACATTAAATAATCTCTATAAATAATATAATTGACATATGTTATGTTCAGGTAGTAACTTATCTGATTTAATTGCTTAAATTATCCATCTTCTGCTCTGCTTTATAATTACTTTTCTGAATTTACGTTTAAACTTCGAGCAATATTTTGCTCTTAGTATATGATTAAAAGGCGTGAATATTTTGAATACTACAACTTGCACATTAATTATTATTAATTAATCCAGCATTTAATTTATTTGAATATTAATTCAATAAAACAAAGAAAACACTTCAATTCAATTATAAGTAATCATTTTAAGCTTAAAATCAAGCCTTTGCCAAAGGAGACCTCAGTTTTTGAGCACTGTAGATTAAAAATGAATAGTGAAGCTACTTAAAAGACTAGAATTTGAATAATACTATCTTAATATTTTCAGAAAGGTATAAATCATTCCCAGCTATTGGCAAATTATCTTTGAAATAATTAATTAGCATTAAAGTATCTTGATCTATATTAAGACATTTTATATCAGAGCGGAAAGGCCAGAACTACTCTGATAAATAGATATTGAATACGAGGAAATTTTATAATCTATATTTTGCCATTGATTGCATTTAAATAGGCACATAGAAGTTGCTACATTTAATAACAATGTTAATTAGCTTATTGAATTTATATTAATTTGGCATATCCGTATTTGGCCAAGTATTTTTTTGTTACCTAAGCTCCTTGGCAGATAATTACAATTAATTTTGCCTGCATTTAATTAACTTAATTATTGTTATATCTCAAAGTTTAGGCTAGTAGTTTGTGGAAAATAAATTTGAATAATGAATGGCAACAACCTAGGCCTGAATAAATTAATATTCGGTCGGTTTCTCATTTGGAGAGTTTAGATTAGTTCTATATCCTGGTTATGCTCTATTTACTGTTATAAAGTAAACTTAACTCATTTATTACTTATAAAACAAGCGGAAATTTAATGATTCCTCTCTTAACTGCAACCCTAAAAATAATGTCTTTAGGAGATAATAAATTCAAGAGGACAGTTTGCACTTAGCCATTTAACTTTTATATAAGTGTTTGATTGTTTGAAATGATGCTAATAAAAAGGTAACATTGCATTTTCAATGACGGAAAGACGATTTATTCAAGGTAAAATGAAATAAAGCATAATTAAAAATGTACTTCTCAAATTCAGTGCTAATACAAGATCTGAATTTAAATCCCCTTTTCAGCGAAACTTAAGCCTAGAGAACTGTGAAATTATTATTTGCAATAATGACTTATATATCTTAGTGAGAACTTAAGTTCTTTATTCATTGATACACTCTTATCATTCTTCAGGCCGTTAGACACATCCGCGGCTTACAAATAAATTAATATATAAAGACTAAATTATTTTTAAAATTATCACTTATGCAGTCCAACCTGAAAGAGAATAACATTTGGGAAAGCAAGGATATGTGAAATTCAATATAAACGTCAGCTAAACTCATATCATTGTGGGAAAATTCTTCTAGCGGTCCTTCATCGCCTTAAACGAAAGTGGGTGAATACATTTCATATTACTGATTTACTGGTGGTCTCGAAACAGTACTTAATGCGAAAAATATAACTTAATTTGATAGCCCTGCCTACAAGTGTGCAGAATTCATAAACAGAATTAAGGAAGTTAGAGTTTAATTTAAGACACAAACAACAGGCAGGAAATATTCTTGCTTACAGACGGCATTTCTGCTTCCTCGAATAGTTCAATATAACTTGGTTGGCCAATGCGGCCAGCGATCTCATAGAGCAAGGCAGCCGCCAAAAGGCAAAACTCGCTGACAGTAGGTAGAAGATAGAAAGATACGTCGCCGATTGCCAATTGACTGTGGCATTCTGCCTCCGTAATGGGGGTCTCAAGGTCCTCCAATTTGACGACCTGTTCATTATTTGTGTTTTTTTCAGCCTTCCAATTATATTTTTCTATGTTTGCTTTATTTTCACCTTCAACAGAGCCATCATTCACTAAAGAATCTATCAAATTCACACGAGTTTCTATCGTTGGAATCCTGAAGTCTTGATCATTTATTCCTACATACTTTGAGCTAGACGAGCTGCTTTCCTGTCTTCTGAAGCCTGAGTTCAAGAAACTTCTGGTAGCGCGTTCGCTTGAGATTCCTGGCTCTAATGGAGCCTCTTTGTCCTGCATTCCGAAAGCTCCCTTCCTTTTAAAAGCCATACCAGAATCATTGTGGTTTATCTTGTGGCTTTTGCTGGTAATAAGCTTAACTAGTCTTTTGGGTGGTCCTGGTCCAGGGGGCTGTGGCCTAGGCTCAGCTGTAGTCCTCCCTGTAGAATGCCCAGCCACAGGCACTCGAGGAATATCAAACTCTGGAGATCGAGTTACCAAAGCAGTAATTGCAGCACTTGTGAGCATAAGGTGGCGAACTTCAGTCTCGCCAAACTCACTATTCGATAAAGTATGAGCTGCAGATTCAGACCTAAGGGATGGATAATTTCATCGGGTAGAAAGGAGGCAAATACGAAATCAGAAATAATAAATACATATGCAACTATGATATGTCTCAGTTCACTCTTGTCTGGATTTCATTCCATTATTTTTCATTTTATTTTCAAGTGTCTTGAAAACTTCCTCATCCTTTAAATTTTAGATTATGTCTATCATATACATTTTGCTTAGTTTACGCATAATAGGGATAAAAGTATTGAATAAGCATATATAACAAACTAATTTGTTGGGTCATTGTAGTGTCTTCATATAGAAAACATTAATTAATCGATTAGATTACTAACTATTAATATGCTTGAATAGTAAAAAGGGTTAAACTTCTCTCAGATCAGCAAGTCTGAATTGCCATATACAAAATTGGAATTCAAACTGCATGCAACTTTCGTTTTAGGTGTATGCTCACTAGAGCTAGTAGTTATCTTCGAAAAATCAAAAATAATTAATTAAATATTCTGGGAGTTTGTCAATTATCAAGTTAGGTTTCCTGCTAATAATAAAAACATTAGATGCGCATTATCCTTAAGCGTATATTGGTAGAAAATTGCTATAAAAGATAATGAGTAAAACTATAAGGTTATTGCAGTTAATTCGAATCAAATATTCCAGGTTTAATTTTGAAAAAGGGTTTTCTATATTAATAAACCTGTCAGAAATAGCTGACAGTACATCCAGTAGTAACTGTATAGCTGGTGACGCATGGGACGAAAGCAGTGAAGGCTAATCTATCAAAGTTTTTGTGTCAGGCTATCGAGTATGAAGGACCTAATTGTTTAGATTCACTGTATTATGAGTGATTCCAGCAACTAGTTAAGGTCATATATAACAAAACAGCTTTCTATTATTTAGAAAAAGGTCTTTCATATTGTACAAAAATATACATTTGAATCGATTCTAATTTGGCAAAAAATAAATAAGCTTGCCTTAATTTACCTTATTATTATCAGTATTATTTCCTTCAATAGTTTATCTTAGTTACAAAATATTTTATGAGTTAAGAATGTCGTCATATGCATTCTTTTCTAATTGAGCTAGTGAGATAATCCGAGATTAATGATTGCAGTGCCTTAACTAGATTTCATAATATGAGATGAAAGATTTCCCTTAGGGTGATGAAGAACTAGTAGCCGAATTTTCTCCCAATTATATGAGTAGGCCTTATGCTGTAATTGAATTTCATGTATACTTGTTTCTCGTAAGGCATTCTCATCCAGCGTGAATTGCAATTTCAGCCTCGCCTAGGAATTATCAACAACCCTCAGCGACACTCGAACTATGACGCTGCAACGCATAATCTTGAGATGTTAGTCACTATGACACGATGCCAAAAACGCCTATAGGTCGCAGGACAGATGGAGTTTTCAAGAAAGGCTAATCCTTTTCTGTGATGGGATCATTTGTGAAGCAAAATTATATTTGCCTGCTCTTCATTGAAATTGAAATCTGCCCGGTAACCTAAAGGCACTCGTGGCAATGTGACGTAGTGGTTAGCGTGTCAAGATTATACGCTGCAGTGTCATGTTACGAGTCAAACTAGGGGTATTGATAAGACCTAAATGATATCAAAACTACAGTCTACCATGGATAAAAATACCTTTTGAGAAGTAAAGCTTTGTGAAATTCAACTATAACAAATGTTCGGCTCATATCATTGGGGGACAATTCAGCTACCATTTCTTCATCACCTTAAAGGAAATAGGGTGAGCACATCTCATATATCTGATTTATAATAGTCTTGAAAGCGTACTTAAAAACAAAAAATAGATTTTATAATGACTCTAATTTAAGTAAGGTCATGAAAAATATAATGCCATTTTAAATTCTAGTAGAAAAAAATCTTTTCTATGCTTAAACACTTTGTTTTACTAAGTCATTTTTCTTTTTATATCTGATACGGATAGTATATATGATGCTGAATCTCACTTATCGACATTTGGATATTTTCGTGCTATGACGAAGTGTAATAAAATAAAACTAAACCGGTTTTTTTAGTCCAATTTGGTCAAAATATTTGCGTGCCAAGCATTCATTCTGTTATTTCAAAGCATGCTCTGTGGTTTAATAATGGATTTGCTTGCCCGGATGCATTTTGTGATAAATCATGAAGTGCGTTGCATCTAGATCGTCCTAGACTAGTCTCAATTTTGCCCACTGAAACATCGGCCCAAATGCAGAGATTAGTTGTCAGAAGATGTACCAGTCCGGCCCCCAAAACGTCATTGTATCGAAGAATCACCAACTTTATTAAAAAAA